GATGATGTTACTTCACGTGGCAAGAGGCTTTGCAGATGTGATTAAGGACCTTGAGCTAGAGAGTACAGGCTTATCTCAGAGATAACTGTGGGCTCAGTTCCAGACCATAATAAAGCGAGTATGGCAATAAATCAAATTGTAATCTTTTTGCTGGTGGAGGTTCTTGCCTTCAATTTGTAAAGAACACACCTGTGAAGCGCAATAAAGCAAAGTGCAATAAAACAAGGTCTGCCTGTATCTTGGATTATCCAGGTGGGCCCAATGTAATCACAGGGGTCCTTACAAAAGGGAAGCAGAGCAAGAGGGACCAAGCTCAGGAGTGGAATGCAGCCAGTCTTAAAGCTGAAAGAAGCAAGGAAATGGGTTCTCCAGTGTCCAGAGGAATGCAGCCCTGCCAACCCGTTTCAGATACCTGACTTCCAGAACTGTAAGCTAATGAATTTGTGTTGTTTTAAGCCAATATATTTGTAGTAATATGTTACAGCAATAATAGGAATTGAACACAGCAGGTGAACAATCTAGCTAAGACAAACTCTCCAGACCTTGGGATTCTTGGCCTCTACTTAATGGTTGGAAACCCTGGCTACATATCAGAATCACCTGAAGACTTTCTGAAGCATGCTGGCACCTGGGTACCACAGTGGGCTGTCAGGATTTCTGATAGTGGAGTCCCATACTAGTATTTTTAGAAAGCTCCCTTAGTGATTGTAGTGTGCTGCCAGGTCTGAACACCTCTGTATGCAAAGTGTAAAGATAGCATTTACCTAACACAGTGGTTTCACCTTAAAGTGTTCCTGGACCATCAACATCACCTGCGAACTTGTTGTAGATTTAAACTTTTCAGCCCTGAGACCTACTGAGTTAGAAACTTTGGGGATGGCACCAGCCATCTGTGTTTTAACAACCTACCCCCCACCCCAAGAAATCACACTAAAGCTTGAGAACCACTAAGCAAAGAACCTTCTTATTGCCCTTAATCTCTGAGGTGTGTATCATAGAGATGTTCTAAGATTGTGGTAAGGAGCTAGAAAAACTTTTAATTAAGGTCATTCTCAAATATATTAACTTTGCAGCCATACTATATAGAACTGTAATATTTGATGGCTAAGGATTTGAATTGTATGTTAGTCTAAACACATTCAGACTGTCTGTAGATAGATATGTAAAGGCAGATATAGGAGACAAAGCTAACACACACCCTCCAGCAGTAGGTATTTTTAATAAAATCCTCAAGTTCTTGGTCTCAAAGAACAATTTGGAGGCATGTAGAAGTGTTTACTACATCAAAATATAAATACACCAACTTACATCACATGAGGTGTATGTAACACAATACATGAGTAGAAAGCAGTGGTTTAGACTTCCTTTAAATCTAGTACAAATTATTGATAGAAACTTTTTTGGTTGGTATGTTTTCTTTAGGGAAAGTCTTAATTCTGATGGGTAGTAATCATTAGAGGAAAACTACATGCCAGGTAAGAAATGGGTTACTAAAAAGCAGTGTTTAAGGTTCATTTATCTGTATTCAGATTTTGCCTATATTTGTCTAATTTTTTTAAGCCCCACAAAGTAAATGAAATGTAACAGTTCAGTGAGATAATGGAATTTTATTTACATCCATTTCCATTCAATATATCACATCTTCAGGACAGGCGGTAACTTATTTAAAGGCTATGCTCATTTTCTTCAGGCTGTGGGCAGAAAACTCCGGAGTAGCAGTAAATGTTGATTTGAAACCTTTCAAGTAGAGAAAGAACTGCTGTAGGGATTCTGTAACTTTATGTATCCCCCAAAATACCATTCACGTACAAATAAATGCTTGTCTTCTAGCTAGACACAGGCTCAACTAGTTTTTCAAATACTCTAGCATGGCAATATATTACTTAGAAGATCGAAGCCAAGACAGAATTGTTCAACTCATAACTTCTCCTGTCTTTAACATGTACACTTCGACTGCCAAAACAGTAACAAATTTCTTCCAGAAAGCACTGTAGGAGAAAGTTATCAAGACAAAAAATTTGCATTCAGAATGTATTTTCTTACTATAGTAGTTTTTAAACTGATACTAGCTTGTAAGTAGTTATAAGCAACAGTAACTTTATGCCTCCCATCTTGCCTAAAAATACATTCTATGTACTAACAATGTGATTACATATTCTATATGCTAGAGATTGCTAATTTTCGTTCTTTTGCCACCAAGAAAAAAAATACGTTATTTATGGGGAAAGAGATTTAAATACTTCTACAGGTAATTTTTTTAAAATCTAAGGCTTGATTTTCTCCAAATAATAGTTGTTTACTTTCTAAAAGTTTTTTAAGGTAACTTTAATAAGGTGCCTATGATTACCACTATTTTTCCCAGAAAAAAATAAATGCCCTGACCCATATATAGTATTTGAGTGATTTTTCATCCTGTATTTTTTATACCTTTAATATTTTTTAACATCATGAGACATCATTATGATCTTATCTAATTGTTACTGAAAGGAGAACTAATCTTTATTTGCCTTAAAACATATTTTACAGGCTGGATATTTAATATTGGTAGTTTTATTATACTCTTTAGTCAGTTTAGTCTAATTCAGAAGGATCTCAGCAGTGTGGCTGGTGTAGAGCTCAGCCTCTCTAGTCCCGACAAGCTGTCACAGTCCCTGTAAGCTACTTGGCTGATCAAACTGGAGACACTGATTTTAACTTTTTGTTCTATATTTAAACTATGTAGTTATATGCAGTTTATCAAAACAAAGCATAAAGATGACGACATTTAAACAGATTACAGAAGACTCTGACTTGCAAACTAGGGAGGCCTCGTGAGTTTGACCTTCAAGGCCAGAGAAAGAAGGTGAAGGCAGTTAGACTTAACCACTGCCAACTAGATTATAGGTTATACCAAACTTCCTCTCAGTCTCCCAGAACTGCTCTTAGAGCCTGGTGTCATCATTAGCATGTATTGTCAGCTAATGATAAAAACAAGAACATACATGTAATTAGAGGTGGGAAAGTCTCTGGAGGGTCCTTAAAATTGGTTTAAAAAATGACTAGGAAAGAAGCAACGTGTTAGCACTGAAGGTGAAACCTGGGATGATATCCATCTTAGCAACTCAAAAACAGATCTAAAGCTTATAAGCAGATTATCAAAAGGCCACAGGACAGTATCACTAATTGTACAGGGAGCTGGGAACTGTAGATCACTGGTGTATACATTTCCCCATTCAGCAGCACAGTGACTGCTTCACAAGCTGTTCCAGTATCCAGTGTTAGGAAAACCACCAGGCCAACCTCCATTCAACCTCATTTATCACTTAACTGTTCATCTGAGTTATTTCTCATCCATATCAATTCTCTGAAGTGTCCTTCAGCAGATCACACCAGCACAATGGAACCTTCAGCTTTTGGCGGGTGCTCTCCATGAGCGTTACGCATGTTATAATGAGTGCATTTCCTTACATATGCACAAATACATTAAAAACATTTAATACAAAATTTTACATTACATGAAGAAGAACCTTAAAGAGTACAGAGAAAATGCATGCAGAGACAGCCCACTGAAGTACAAAGCCAGCGGGATATATAATTTTTAAGTTTATATTTCCTGCAGAATGGTAACACATATCTTTTCCTACCCAGAGGCAAAATATATTTTCCAAAAATTTGGATACTGCCCATTGTATTACATTTAAATTAAAATGCTCCCTATGTATACAGACCGTAAAAGTAAGCAGAAAATACTTACACACATTCCATTTTTTAATATATCAAAAATGTTTCCAAGGCAACATTAAAATGATTATACCACAGTCCCTAACACGACATCAAGCTCTAACAGGAAGGTACGGGGAGGGCAGGAGGGGTCATCCCGTCGGTTTAGGAGCCCTTCTTTTCATCACCCAGCAAATTCACGGCAGCTTTCTTGGCTGTTGGGAGGAAAGGACATCATATCAAAGCTCTTTGCAATACAGGCTCTGCGTAATGTAGATACTGGGTAACAGCTGGGATGACTCATGTTCAGATGAGAACACACTGAGGTTTGTGGTCAGGGCTAAGAAAGTTTCCAGGAAATGGACAAGAAACTACTTCACAGCATAAATCCTGAGTACCTGAGCAAAGTTCTTGAGGGGCTCTAGCCTGGCCCCCTGGAAGTGAAGCATCGCCCAAGCCCTCTGTCCTGTAAGCATCACAAGAGGCAGAGATTCCCTGGGCGTGTGGTGTTCCTCTCTACAATCAAGAAATTCTCGTTGGTGTACAATTTCACTATGTCTCAGTGTGAGGACAACTAGGTCATCCACCTATTCTGTGGTGACAAGTCAGAGAAAAGGCATCATTTCCAGAACCCAGAAATGATGGCATGTTTATACACATTTATATTCTCTCATTGTGCCACCATTTCCTCCTATGATGGGAAGGATGTGCTGTAAGTAACTTTGAGTTGGTGGCAAGATACTACATTCATCAAGAAAGTAATCGTGCCCTGGCCGACGTGGCTCAGTTGGGGCATCGTCCTGTACATTGAAAGGTCATAGGTTCAATTCAGGGCACACACCAAGGTTGCAGGCTTGATTCCCGATCTGGGTGCATACGGGAGGCAACTGATCGATGTTTCTCTCTCTCTCTCCCCCCTCCTCTCTCTAAAATCAGTAGAAACATATCCTCAGGTAAGGATAAAAAAAGTAAAAGCATCTATCTATGGGAGATTAAGCCTTCCTAATTACCAAGTAGCTTGGAATGTGCTGTAAGAACTAGTGGTGTGTGAGACGGAGGAGGGAAGGCGCTTTCTGGAAGCCTGCAGGGCCTCCTGTGAGATTCTACAACTGCAGCGGTCGTTGATAGAGCCTGAGTCCAGTGAGAAGAGCGGAGTCCCTTCTCCTTCACCACCTGGCAGCTGCTCTCCATTCAATTAAAATTGTTGAACAAAGTTAAGACATTGTAGCCTCTCTCCAACTAGCCCTTTGTAAAAATTTACTTCCTGGAGAATCCAGAAGCTTTGAGAAAAGTCTACTATGTATCAGCATGGAGGTTCCTCCTAACTTATTTTCATTCTCCCTCCCCTGTTAGGATTAAAATTGGATTTTGGAGTACTGCTACCTAAGAGAACCAGGAGGGTAAGGAAGGAGGGCAAACTAGACAGAAATGACATCACCAGAGGCTGGTGGGTAGGCTAAAAATGAGGAGGAACAGGAAGGAAAGTTCATAAAAAGCAACTGATGATTCCAAAGTGCGAGTATGTGAAAGTTAAATGTTACAGTTAAAATTCCAGAATAATGTACTGAAGTAGATGGGCGCTCTGGGTACAGAAATAGTAGTTCAGAGAGTGGAAATGAGGGCACATCGCGCCAGGACGTCAGTGCTGCTGAGAGCTGTCTTGGTGGGGACCTTACCCGCCCCAGTGGTCAGGTCATGCTCATCTCCCACCCTAATTATCACAGAGCTCTAACAACAACATTCCCTAATTCCATGTCCACTTCCCACTTTTCTCCAATTTCTGAAAACCTTCACTGTGCCCTCTGCGACGTAAGACCCATCAACAGCAAAATCTCTATTGTCATCCATTTCTCCAAATATTTCCCTGACCTTCTTGCTTTTACAGAACCATGGCTGTCCCCTGAGGATGCTGCTTTCTCATATGGTGGCTGTTCTGATTTTTTTCCTTCCATGACCCTTGTACCACTGGGTCTGGAGGTCTGGTGAATGTTACCTTGTTCTTTATGGCCACGTTCTGAAGCTCATGTCATCAGAGTGTATCTTCCACTAGCATTTCTTTTTCCAGTCATTTCTGACCCTTGGGCTATGCTGCCTTATTTAAGATTCTTGCTCTAAAGTTATCACTCTCTAATACCACTCCTATTTTAATTATTGGTGATTTCAATATCCATATAGATATACATGATCTTCCAATATCCTGACCTCTTAGTCCCCCCTGCCCCCAGTAACCTTTATATTCCTTCCTACCCACTCTGCCTACCAAAGGCACTCACTCATGACCCTTGTGACGACCGATAACCGTGGCCCCTCGATAACCTCAGTCAACCATCACCTCCACTATCACCTCCTACCTTTGCAGCTCACTCCTTCTGTTATCCTGATTCAGTTCTTCCTCCACCACCTGGTTTTATCAGCCACTGATCTTACCGCCTTTGCCACTGGTCCTCACTTCACTCCTCACCCAGCTTAAATTCCATCGTCAAACACTAACCACTCCTTAGTCCCACTCTCACTTCATATTTCTTACTTAACAAAATTAACCTTGACACATCTCTCCGCCTGTTCTGAATGTGGCTTGGAGGAAAACACAGACGCACCAGTCACTCACTAAGTCCATGGACACAAATCTCAAATGAGCCTTTAATATTGCCTGGCAATCACATGACACTGTCTGGGGCCACGCCCACTCCCACCATCTCAAAACAGCCAGAAAATTACAGCCGCACTCACGGGTTTGCGCACCATCTACAGCTCCCTGCACACTACAGTGGGAGAGGTGAGTACCTGCAACACACACCCAACGGCCAGCAAAAACTAAAGTAGCTGGCCCTTTACTGACGCTGGTCCTAGACAACTGTGTCATACTCCTCTTTCCCTCCCTTCCCTGTCCTCTCTCACTTGACCTTTCCTCCCCATATCACTGAGAAACTTGCAGCAATCAAAAAATTGCTTCAAGCCCTAGCCGGTCTGGCTCAGTGGTTAGAGTGTCGGCCCATGGACTGAAGGGTCCTGGGTTCGATTCCAGCCAAGGGCACGCACCTTGGTTGCAGGCTCGGCCCCTGGCAGGGTGTGTGTGGGAGGCAACCAATCAATGTGTTTCTCTCACATCGCTGTTTCTCTCTCACCCTCTCTCCCTCCCACTCTCTCTGAAAAAGCAATGGGGAAAAAATATTCTCGGATGAGTATTAAAAAAAAAAATTACTTTGATAAGCTCCCACCATCACATATACTCACCTACCCATAGTCATTTCACCCATAAACCCTGACTCCCCTCCTGTTACTATAAACTGCTCCTGCTCCTATGACCAGCCCCCGTCTGTACACTGGATCCTGTCCCCTCCGGTCTAGTCAAGGACAGACCACCAGCAATTCGCCCTCACGTATCATCCTCTTGCTCTTTACTGGATCATGCCCATTAATTTTCAGGCATGTTTTGTTTCTTCTACCTTAAGGAAAAGAAAAAAAAATCCTCAGGACCCTAGTTCCTTGTTCCAGTGATAGCCCAATTCTTCTGCTCCTTTGCAGGAAATTTCTCAGAAACAGTTGTCTACATTCTCTCATGCTTTCCCTCCCACTTCTTTCAAATCCATTCCAATCTGGATTTTGCGCCCACCACTCCCCCGATCTGTTTTGCCAAGATCACCGGTGCCTTCCCCACTGCTAAGTCCAATGCTCGGTTCCCAGTCCTTGTCTGACTGGACCTGTCGGCAGCATGTGACACGATGGGTCGCGCCCTCCTCTCTGAAACGGCCTCTTCCTGTGGCGCCAGAGGGACCGGTCTCCTGGTCCTCTTGCTGTCTCGATGGCCACCCCTCATCAGTCTGCTCTGCTGGCTGCTTCTCATCGTCTCAGCCTCTCAACGTTGGGGCCTGAGTCCTCAGACCTCTTCTTTCCCAAGCACATTCACCCCCTTCGGTGATCTCAGTCAGCCTCATGCTTGCTATGTGTCTACGTGCTGGTGACCCACATTCATACCCTCAGCCCAGGCCTGTCTCCTGAGCTCCTGGTGTCTGCATCCAACTGGCTGCTGGACTCCTCCACGTAGGTGCCTAACAGACACCTCAAAGTATGTCCAGAGCTGAAGTCCTTATTTTCCCTTCTCAGCCTGTTGTACCCGGTCCTTCCCCAGCTCAGCGGCAATGATATCCTTCCTGTGTTCCTGCTAAACATCAGCGGGGCCTCGCCCCCGACTCCTCCCCATGCTCCACGGGCAGGTCCTATTGGTTCTACATTCACCATCTATCAGGAACCCAGTGACTTCTTCCCTCCTGCTGCCGTTGTGAACCAAGCCACCACCATCATCTCCAGCCAGGTCAGCACAATGACCTTTTAACTGGCCTCCTGATTTCCTCCCTCTCTCCTCAGTCTAATCTTAATACAGTGGCCAAAGTGATCCTGTGAAAACACAGGATGGATCATGTTGCTCCTCCGCTCAAAATCCTCCAACAGCACCCACCTCACCCGGGGGAAAAGCCAGAGCCCCGGCAGCAGCCTGGAAGGCGTTACATGGTCATGGTCTTGCAGCCTCCCTCGGCCTCCCTGAGCCTGTCTCCCACTCTCCCTAGGTCATTCCCGTCCCACCATCCTGCTCCCACCTCCGGGCTTTGGCACATGCCGTCCCCTCTGTGTGGAACATTCTCCCCCACGGTTCCTTCCTTTACCACTTTCATGTCCGATTCAGCGTAGCCTTGGTGAGGATTTCCAAATCACTCCATTTAAAACTGGAACCTTCCCTTCAGCCCCTAGCACTCCGTCTCCTTATCTGCTACGTTTTTCTCTATCTCATCTATTAACTATACCACAGAGCTTAGTTTTTAATTTAATTCTTTCCCTCTCAACAAGGTTATAAATCTTCATGGGTTCAAGGAGTATGATCTGTTTGGTTCACTGGTTCATCCCCAGGGCTATGGACATGCTTGGCACACATTAGGCACCTCAATAAATATCTGTTGAATGAAGGAATCAGAGCTGAGAGAGAGGGCATTGTCTGGGACCTGTAACAAAAGCAGTCCGAACAGCACATTAAGCAGGTCAACCTGAAGTGGATTAAAGAGATGTACTTGGATATAAATACACATGATTCTCTAAAGTCCCTGCCCACCACAGAATCATTTTTCCTAACGGGCTGGCTGAATGGTGTGCTAAATGTGGCATGGAGGAAGACTCTTGGGGAAAGGAAAGGGCAGCAGGCAAAGTCTTGGTAGTGAAATCCCCGAGTAGTCTTGGTACCTGGCTGTGGAGAGCTAAGGGGACAAGCCAGGAAGCTTATCGCTCAGGCCCAGTGCATCACATCCCTCTCGCGAGCTGAACCACACTGTCCCCGAGTCTTACCTTCTTTAGCGATGGCATCTGCAGTCTCTTTGGCTTTGTCCTTCAAGTCGCTCACCACATGGTCTACCTGGGACTGGTGCTTCAGGAAGACAGGACGGATGATGCGCTTGTAGAGCAGTTCTGCCCCGTTCGAAGGGCTCGGGGCCATGCACCACAGCAGGAAGCCGCACTGCGCAGAGAGAGAGCCAGCATGGTAACAGGAGGGGGTCGGGGGCAACAGCAAGGGATGGGCACCCCGACAGCACACTGCCCACTGCTCCGCCGGGAAGGCACTGCCTCTGCCATTTTCTCCAGCAGCGTTCCCAGTGTTTTCTGCAAGCTACAGGTGGGCTTTTCTTATGCAAAAAAATGTGACAGATAATGGGCTAGTGAGGAAAAGCTGAGACTGAAAAAGGTAAAACACACCAAGGCAGCAGCTTAACTGCCTAACTTGGGCCGATTTTTAGTTACAAAAGCTTTTATGAATTATAACTCTTCAAAATCAATTTTGAAAACAGTACTTATCTGCATGTGTAAAGCCCTGTACAGATAAGCCTAATACCTACGACGCTTGTTCTTAGCAGGCTAACGCTGGTCACATTTATTAATCCTGCTGTAGGAAAAATACCTGGCCATTCCTGAAACCTTCCCATAGTGGACTCGCAGTTTTTAGTTGATCTTAGCCTTCAAGTAATCTTTACAGTCAGGCGTTTCTCTTCATTCATCCTGAATGTAGGTATTACTCCTAACTCTTTCTTTATGGCTCTACTTCACCATTGAGATAAAAAAAAGAAAAAAAAAAGAAAACAAGAAATTGACAATTCTGCCCTAAAAACTTAAAAAAAAAAAAAAAAGAATTGTCACACTATATTTATATCCAAAATAATTTTACTGTTTGTTCAAATGATAAACAACTTCAGGTTGTCCAAGCAGTTTATCCCTCTAGTCTATAAGTTAATGAGGAAAAAAAGGGACATCCAGAGTGGTATGTTCATTTCCCCAGCAAGCTTAATAAACTGCATACATCCTAGGTTCTTTTCAGTTAAGACTCTAACACCCAGCCTGGGTGCCTCTATAAAAAACAGAATCTCATTTCCTGAGATTCCAAACCTGTAGTTTTTACAACTTCTCCTTAAAGTAACCACCCCTCAACTTCTTATGCCACAACTTTAACTGTATAGCCTTAGGCCTGATTATTACAAACCAAAGAATGAACTCAAATAATCAAGAAGCTACAAGATAATCTTCTGAACTTAAAATGCACATACTTGTGCCCTAAAGCTCGCTCCATCAGCACCATGCTGGCTCTAAGAAATTTGTATTACATACTGAAGTTCTATTACACTCAGAATAAGTAGAATGTAGGTTCTCAACAGATTACTCTCTCTAGATGATCTGAACTCTAGAACTCAGGAAAATAACACCCATGAATTAGAATCTTTACAGACAGGGCGCAAGCTTTCCAAAGACAGGTATCAGACTGGATTATGAAAAACAAAAGCATATAGCTATAAGCTGCTTACAAGAGACACACCTAAGACAAATCCAATGAAGAACACTTAAAGGGATTGTCATCCTTTGTATTAGACAAACACCAGCTCCCAAGTAGCTCATGTAGTAATATTAATAGTGCGNAAGGGATTGTCATCCTTTGTATTAGACAAACACCAGCTCCCAAGTAGCTCTGCATATCCCCTACTAGGGCAAAATAAGCAAATAGTAATAAAGGAAAACAATCCACCAAGAAGATTCACCTGAACCTGTATGTCTTTTGTATATATTTTAATAACTGTATCTTTATAATTATATAATTCTTAATGGTCAAATCATACAATTTGTAATTATATGTAGCTACATATAGCTTCAAATATAGCTCTGAAATATATAAAGTCAGAATTATATAGATAAATGCACAAAATCCACAATCATAGATTTTAACACTTCCATCAGAAAGTTATTTATCAGCCTGGCTGGTGTGGTGCAGTGGTTGAGCATCAACCCATGCACCAAAGGTCGCTGGTTCGATTCCTAGTCAGGGCACATGCCAGGGTTGCAGGCTCGATCCCTAGCAGGGGGCATGCAGGAGGCAGCCGATCGATGTTGACGCATTGATGTTTCTGCTTCTCTCTCCCCCGCCCTTCCTCTCTCTCTAAAATCAATAAAAAATAAAAATAAAGTTATATATCAAACAAACTAGAAATAAGAATACAGAATAAACACAAATTTTAAAATCTTGATTTCAAAGTATATACATGTTTCTCTACCCAACAAACAGGGATTCTAAGAGAATTATATACTACATAGAGAGAACAGAGAATGGGCTCAGAGAAGCTGAGTTCCACTCCTAGTTCTGCCACTTCTAGCCTGGCAAGCTTTGTGCATGTTACTTAATTCCTTAAATCTGTTTTTAGCTCCATAAAATAGTTATTAATTGATTTTTCTTTAAAATCTACCCCATAAAGATTCTGTAGAAAATAAAAAACATTTGGAGCACTTGGCATAGTAGGGGCTTTGTGTCTATCCCAGGCATACTGTGTCTTCTACCAACATCATGAAACAGTAACAGGCTAACTTATTAGCCTTAAGTGGGGTAGAATTAAGTCCCAGAACCAAAACATACCCTTTTAAACAATTATTTTGTAACTCTCCTTTTACTACCTGAAATGAAATGTAAAGTAATGATATACTTACACACATAGTTACCAAAAAAAACCCAAGGTAGTATAGTAACCCTCCTTTATCCAAAGGAGATATGTCCCAAAACCCCCATTGGATGCCTGAAACTGTGGATAGTACTGAACCCTGTATGTACTATGTTTTTCCTGCACACACATACCTATGATAAAGTTTAATTTATGAATTGGGCACAGAGTCACAACAAATAGCAATAAAATAGAACAATTGTAACAATTTACTGTAATAAAAATTATGTGAATGGCTTTGGGGCCATTATTAAGTGAAATGAGGGTTACTTGAACTGGGACAGTTGATCTGATAACTGAGCCAACTACTAAGTGACTAACAGGCAGGTAGCAAATACAGCATGAATCCGCTGGGTAAAGGGACGGTTCTCGTCCCAGGCAGGGCAGAGCAGGATGGTGCAAGATTTCATCACGCTACTCAGAACAGCATGTAATTTAAAACTTATAAATTGTTTATACTAGAATTTTCCATTTAATATTTTTGGACCACGGTTGACTGCTGGTAACTGTAACAGAGGTTAAGGGGAGAGGGAGAACTACTGTACTCTAACTGCAATATAAAGAAAAAATACAGTGAAGGTAATTTATAATGAAACAATATATATTTCAATATGTAAATGTTCAAGCCAAACTAAGCTTGAAAAAAACCATAAAATTCTCATAAGTAGAATCCATGACTATAATAGCTACAAACAAAATTTCCTCCATATATTCCCAAAAGGTTTTGAATTTCTGGACTAGAGGGATGGTAGGGCCTAATTTCACTGCTGTAATCTCCAAGTTATGATTTTATACCAACCCTCCCTCCCCTTTCACCTCTCCTACCCCTGATGTGCAACAGGCTCCAAAACTCGTTTACTGGGCACAGCGCCGGGAAACGTAAAGTTCAGTTAGGAAAGCAAAAGCGGGGAAGGGGAAGGGCTGAGATCCAGACTAGCCATCTCCCAGCCTCACCACACACGCCTATGTTGGCAACCGCCCCGCACTCGGGGAGACCACAGACACACAGGTCCCAGCACTAATTAAAGCCAGCACCTCGGGAGGTGTGGCAGTTTCCTGTTTCCTGTTAGTTTTCCCGGCTCCAGCACCGCTGGGCTTGGCCTGCTATCCTAGTGAATTAGGATGTTCTCTGAACCACACATTTGCATTAACCCATCATGGAGAACTAAGTGGCTGCACTTTTCACTCGCTTTCGCTGGCTTTTCCTCTGCTTAGAGCCCAGTTGGTTGCAGGCAGAGACTGCAGACCCTCTTTCTAGTTAACATTTCCCTGCGGAAGACCTTTGGTTTTTCATATCCATTCATACAGTGTTCTCCACTGGTTGCTTACACAGGTAATGCATACATACCCAAGACCTGGCGCAACAACTGAAATAAAACAATGTGCGGGAAAAGTTACGTTCTGGACAGAGCATCAGAACACCAGGTGCGCATTTTGAAGAGTATGCAGAGTATCCAAGGGGATGTATCATGTACTACTGCACACAAAGTAATAGTTTCTTACCAACTAGGCTAACTACAGCTGGTCCCTGACTCACCAATTTGACTTGACGATTTTTTTACATTATGATGGTGGGAGAACAGGATACACATTCAGTAGAAACCAACTAGGCTCAGCTATGATGTTCAGCAGGTTAGGTGTATTAAATGCATTTCAACTTACAGTATTTTCTACTTGCGATGGGTTTATCAGAACGTAACCCCATCAAAAGCAGAGGAGCATCTGTATTTGGAGAGTGTTATGTTTAGCATCTAACAACCTAATGTTATATACAACTTATATAGAGGTGCTCTGCTGTGTTTTGTTAATATTTAGGAAATTGGTATGGAATTTTAGATTGACATTAATAAATTTTACCTCTTACTATTTAAAGTTGCAAGAAATAGTCTCCTGGCTGGTTTTCCTACGTAGGATATCTGATTTTCAGGAATGGATTATTGATGTACAGACAGGCACCCGGAATATAACCATAAGGATGATTACGGTGAAGTGGAAATACCTCACTGGATCAACAATCAGGAGAGTTGATATCTTACTGTATGACTTTAGGAAAATCAATCTGAGTTAATTTTCTCTGCAGGATATTAGGAAAGTCACAAATTAATGAATTTGAGGAAAGTATGAAAGATAGTAGTAGCATTACCAAGTCCTATAATTCTTACTGTTGTTGAAAATCTCTAAAATATTATCTACCTATGTACCATCTTTTCTGGATGAATTAAGGCAAGACCACCAGACAGTAACAGAGCCAAGCATCTATATGTTTGCACCTTTCCAATGTGATTACTTTGTGGGCTATCCTCCAGACTGTTCATTCAGTTCTTTTCGGTACCCTCTTGAGACAGAAAAATAATTACTGCTCTCTACCTACGTCCTTAGCATTTTCTAGTTCTGAAGTAAAATAACTTCCTTGTATTTAAAAATAAAGTTAATTACTGTTCAATTCTCAAGGTGATATTCAGCTGCCAGCTTTTACAGCTCCCTTTTC